AAAGGACTTGGCCCCAATCAAATAAGAATTCTGAAAGACCGAAATAGTCCTGGAAGACACTGACTGGAGGCACAGGTCAGCCCTGGGGCTCTAGGTGCAAAACCACAATGGTAATAAACTTTTGAATATTTATTTTGTCCTACAAGGTGCATCATGTTTAAATGGATTAGATATAAGGTACAAATAACATGAATGGGCACACTTGAACATAACACATTATAAAAAAATAGAACAGGACACTAAGTCACCCTGAGAAGTTTGTGGTTAGTCTTGTTATTATTTTATATTCACAATTTGCACATGATTGAGTGACCATTTTGAGAGGCTTACACTACTTGGGAAAATAAAAATACAGTATAAAGCTGGGTGTGGTGGCCCATGCCTGTAATCCCAGCACTCTGGAAGGCCAAGGCAGGAGGATCCCTTGAGCTCAGGAGTTTGAGTAAAACCTGAGCAAGAGTGAGACCCTGTCTCTACTAAAAATAAAAAAAATTAGCTGGATGCTGTGGCAAGTGCCTATAGTCCTAGCTACTTGGGAGGCTGAGGCAGGAGGATTGCTTGGGCCCAGGAATTTGAGGTTGCTGTGGGCTGTGATGCCATAGCACTCTACACAGGGTGACAGAGAGAGATTCTCAAAAAGAAAGAAACTAAATATAGTATAAAGACTTCACCTGGCTAGATGTGGTGGCTTATACATGTAATTCCAGCAGTTTGGGAGACAAAGTAGGGAGAAACACTTGAGAGCAGGACTTTGAGACCAAACAGGCAACAGAGCAAGACTTCATCTCTAAAAAAGATTTACCCAAGACTCAGGTTGCATTACTGCCTGTGACAGTTCTGATAGCATGACAGCTGCCAACACCTATGTTCTTTCCCTGAATGTTTAGTGTCCACACCTTTACTTTTGGGTTCACTGTCCCGCTATTCCACAAAGAATACTCCAAGAGGCACACTTCTGGGGACACCCCCATTGTTTCTTTAAGCCACATTCCCTGAATCACAGACAAATGTGGTGGCTGCTGGGAAGCACTGCACAAGCACTGTCTACGTGTTACTGGTCCGTCCCACTTTGTCTTTGCAATTTTCTCCATCTAATGCTTTTACAGATGCAATCTGGGTGGCAAAGAGCAGACAGCAAGTCTGCAGGTGCCTTGAGTCAGTGCTCTGGCATGCTTGGTCTAGCGCCCCCTGGTGCCCGTGAGAGGCACTGCAGTGCGGCACCTGCTCCCACGGGAAGGACCTGGAAGGGGTTCTGAAACTGCACTCCAGCCCACTAGTCTGTCACATTATCACACCACTTAAAACGACCATTTTGCTATTAACAATATAGCTAACATTTTGGAGGAAATAGTTTGGTTAATTTGAACAATATTTATACTATTTTCCTGAAATACACCCATTAACTCATTGACTCTGGCTATGTTAATCAAATGAGCATCCCATTCCTCCTGGCTGGTCCCTTTCAGAGTAATTCCTCTGAATGACACCAGTAGACATTTCCTGTATAAACATCAGCTTTAATCTCAAACGATTTTCTCCCTCAAACCTCAGAAGCTTAGTGAAAAATTGAAAGTCACAGTGAGAATTATGTCTGCTCCCTGGCACCTCTGAATCTCCCGTCACACACAGGATGACCTTGCTGGCAACTCTCTCTCTGGGCCCTCTGTGCGTGGCCTTCCCTGTCTGGATGGGGGTAGGCACCGGTAAGGCTGCACTCGGCCAGGAAGGGGCCTGCCTTAAGGTTTCTGTTTTCTTGCAGTCACTGTGTAGTTGTGAGTTCAGAGTTCAGTCATCAGCCTGGGCCCAAGCCCCTCCCTGGCCAGTGCAGCCTCACTGGTGCCCAACTACTGTCCACACAGGGGAGCTTGCATTCAGGCAGTTTAATACTCAGTTGATGGTCAAAAGCCCTTCATTACTTGAAAATTGTCAGAGAATGTTATAAAAAAGATGAAATGCTAAAATTATGGCAGCAGGTTTATGTCAACAAAGCAAGGTGAAGCAATGGAAGAAACCATGAGATTTTAGATGTGCACCAACCCCCTTCCCTCCAGGAGACTAGCATCCACCTTGGGAGAGGCCACATAAGATTAGAGGTAAAGAGGCTGCTGTCAAGCTGTCCTGGGGAGACACTTCAAAGGTCCTAAGGAACAGCCCTGAGCGCTTCCTCTGCCCGCCCCTCACAGCATCACTCCCAGAGGGCCCATGGCCCCCAAACCAATGCTGCTGCTGAGTGTGCTGCCAGGTAACCAAAGGGACAGAAGCCTGAGGAAAGACATGATCGAAAAGCTGTTTTACTGCTTATATTTCACATTTAGCCTACATCTCAAAGTTTGAAATAATCATGTATATATTATATAACATGCACAGAGAAAAATGTTTAGACATCATTAGGGATTTGGGAGCCCACTTAGAATACTTCATCACCTTGAGATTTCTCAGCATCTGACAGTGCTCATTGTCAGGACAGAGTGAACTTATAGTGCAGTAGCCAAGCATATGCCACGTGCCATCCAGAAGGACAAGGATGGTGAGGGTGAAGGGTGTGGAGGGTGGGGTAGCACAGGCATCCTGGCCTGGCATGCTTGGGAGGCTGGTGGTGGCGATGGTGTCCTCAGGCATGTGCACCACATAAATAGTCTTGAATGTGCAGCTGGAGAAGCCTCAGCTCTGCCTCTGGAAAGGAGTGGCAATTCCCCTGCCTGTGTTGCAGGTAACTGCCGTAGACCAGCCCACGGAGATATAACACATATAACATTCTCTGACAATTTTCAGGTAAATGAAGGGTTTTTGAGCATCAATTGAGTCTTAAACTGCTTAAATGCAAGCTCCCCTGTGTGGACGGTAGGTGGACAGTGAGGCTGCACTTGGCCAGGGAGAGGCTTGAGCCCAGGCTGATGACTGAACTCTGAACTCACAACTACACAGTGACTACAAGAAAACAAACCTCAAGGCAAGCGTCTGGTGGCCAGAAGGTGACCACACACAATGCAGCTCAGCCTGGCCCATACATAAATCTCATACAAAGACTTAGAATAGACCCCACAATCCCCTTTCTAGTCTGGTGTGGTCCTGACCAGTGAGAAAAAGGTGGGGTCTGAGCCCCTCTGAGCTGGGTGCACAGAGGAGTCTCCTGCCCACCTGAGAAAGGTAGAGGAGGCCTCACCTGCAGGTTGAGTTCAGGTCCAGAATTTGTTTCTGGAGACTCATTTGTCCACTGAACACGGCTTCACATATAACCTGAGTTTCAGGTAAACAAGCATGTGGCAAAGGACAGGTAAGGTGAGGATGTGGTGGAGTGGCCTGTGTGTGTGGCATGCACACACACTCCTGTCTGGGCTCCTGCACACAGCGGACTCTGTCTCCCCAGAATGTTGCAACTGGACAGCCTAACAGTGAACCAGTTGGTGGGTGTTCATTTTGCCTCAAACATAAACATTTTAAGGAAGTTCTAAGGCATTAAGAGCAAAGTTTCAAATATATCACATATATACTTCCCCAGATAATCATTAAAATACTTTATTCAATTTTATTACTTGTGTCATTAAGGAAAAAGCAGAGTTACATATGCTGTCTGATGTGCAGGGCCGGTGCTGGCTGAGGAAGTGGGAGTCCCCCCTGGTGAGCAGGCCCTGCAGAGAGCTTGAGGGTTGTAATAAAGATGCTAACTTTGTCTTTGAAATGACTTCACTATTGAAGAAATTGAGAATACAAATGTCAAATAAGAAAAATAAATTGGAGAAAAGAGCTCATTACTTTAAATTTTTTTTTTTTTAAATTAGAGACAAGAGTTTTATTTTGTCATCCTTGGTAGAGTGCTGTGGCGTCACAGTTCACAGCAACCTCCAGCTCTTGGGCTTAGGTGATTCTCTTGCCTCAGCCTCCTGAATAGCTGGGACTACAGACACTCACCACAATGCCTGGCTATTTTTTGTTGCAGTTTGGCTGGAGCCAGGCTTGAACCTGCCACCCTCTGGTATATGGGGCCAGCGCCCTACTCACTGAGCCACAGCTACTGCTCCCTAAATGTGTATTTTTTACAGTTAAGATATCCTGTAAATGCTTTTTTTTTTTTTTGAGAGACAAGAGTCTCACTTTATTGCCCTTGGTAGAGTGCCATTGTATCACAGCTCATAGCAACCTCCAACTCCTGGGCTTAGGTGATTCTCTTGCCTCAGCCTCCTGAGTAGCTGGGACTACCGGTGTCTGCCACAACACTCGGCTATTTTTTGTTGCAGTTTGGCCGGGGCCGGGTTTGAACCCACCACCCTCAGTATATGGGGCCAGCGTCCTACTCACTGAGCCACAGGTGCCGCCCCCTGTAAATGCTTTAAAAAAGTGTTAACAACACTTTATAATTTAAAATCCACAAAATATATAAAAGTGAGGATTATTAAATTTCTAAACTACTCCAGAAACATATTCTCAAGTATACCCAAAGTTCCATCACCCCTGCCACACACTTACGGTGTCTACTCTTCAAAGCTGGTTGAGCACTAGCCTAGGCGCTGCTTCTGCAGTAGGCCAGAGATGCTGAGTGGCAGCCTGGTGGCTGGGGCCCGGGAAGGCAGTGCAGCCTGGGAGCTTCCAAGGCTGGGAGAGGCCCCTTTCCCCGCTGCACCTGGACCCTGGTGTGCTGGAGTTTGTGACCGTCCCCTGTAGGGCATCTGCAGTGGTGGAACCCTGACAAATTCAATAGATAAAACATCACACACGCTGGAGGTATCTTTGCAGGACTGGGGACAATGCTACTTTGTGCTGACCATCCTCACCCCTTCTGAGTGCCCAGGCCAAGCAAGGTGAGCACTGTGCCCCAGCTAGGCAACCTCTCACAGAGGCTGTCATGTCCTGGCCCTCCCCCAAGCCCTGCTCTGTGTGGTGCGGCAGTCAGGAGGTCCTGTGCACAGCTCCTCTCAGGGCTGGTGTCAGTATGAGGCTTGGTTGAAACAGGGTGGAGTCTAGGACGCTGACCTTTCACCTGCCTACACAACTAAGGCATACGCTGTGACCCCATCCCCAACCCTGTGGCTTGTGCAGCAAGCCCAGCCCCTTCTTGCCATGTGGACCCACCTGACCATCCTCACTCTTAGCCTGTATCTTGCCCTCTGCTCAACCCTTAACCTTGGGGTCTTTTCAGGTCCCACCCTCAGGATTCTGAAGGTTCTAGAAGCCCCTGTGGCCAGCCTGTCCATCTTCATGCTCTGGTCACACTGTCCTGGTGACAACTCCTGCATCTCAGGTCCAGCCCACACCCAGCCTACGGGTTGCACCCAGGCTGCAGTTTTATGTGTCAGTCAGATTTCATCCCTTGGCAGCCTGCTGTTCACTGTTTGCACTCTATGATGGTTTGACATCTTAGGGCCTTGCTAGCCCTGGATATACTGCTCCTCCCTGGGACAGGAATTTCTAGAGATGGTGACTCCCTGCCTGTGTGCAGGACTTCCACATGCAAACCAATCAATCCAGAGCCCTCAACCACTTCTTTACCGACTTGAAATGGCAAGACAATGCTCCCCTGCTCTGCAGTGCAATGGACAGATGGGCATTGGTGCCTGGGCTGTGCACTGCCCACCTTGCCCTGGGTCAGTGAAGGTGGCTGCCCCTGAGCTCTCCTTGCCCCTTCTGCCTGTCCTGGGCACTGTCATTGACTCTACTTTCAAGGCTGTGGTCTCTGTGCTGTCACCTGCTACATCTGGGCACCACAACACTGGGGACATTTTGGAGATGGCATCTCACTCTGTTGTCCAGGCTGGAATGCAGTGGTCATGTCACAGCTCACTATAGCCTCAAACTCCTGAGCTCAAGCAAACGTCCTGCCTTAGTTCCCCAAGGAGCTGGGACTACAGGTGTGCAGCACACCCCACTAATTTCACAAATTTTTTTTCATAGAGATGGGGTTTTCCTATGTTGCTCAGGGTGGTCTCAAACCCCTGGACTCAAGTGATCCTCCCACTTTGGCCTTCCAGAGTGTTGGGATTACTGGTCTGAGTCTCTATGCCTGGCAAATCCTGGGTACATTTTTTAAACACCTCAGACAGTTTTATCTACAACCAGGCTCATTCTCTGTCTTGCCAAGACCCATCCTGCTTGCAATAGCTGTCCATCCATGCAGTGGCTAGAGGAAAGGTCAAGTGTCAGGTAGGGGTGCAGTGACTGACTACACATGCCCCAACCCTAGGAAATGTCAAAGCAGGCAAGTGGATGAAGTGGGGCAGATGTTTGGGGCCAATGCTCAAGCCTTGCCAGGTAGACAGTGGGGAGCTTCCAGATTGAGGGTACTGTGCAGCAGGGCAGGCTGGAGAGCTTGAGGTGGGGAACCAGGGGTGGATTTGATACTGGAAACTGCCCGAGGACTCTAGATAAGGGGCTAATAAGGAGGGTCTGCCTTTTAGAGAACCCCCTGAGCTTTGTACACTTAGGGTGTGGTCAACTCCATAGCAGAGGATGTAGCCCACCTGCAGCATGGTGAGGGGCCTGAGGTCTAGCCAGAGTGGCAGGCTCAGCCCATGGTGATGTGGTATCCTAGGCACAGCTGCCCCTGACACAATGCCCACTGCCTCCTCAATACAAGGGAACTGCTAAGCAGCTGTTCAAAAAGCCGGAGACATTTGCCACCTACCCTTTATGGAAACCACAAGCTGGTCCTGCTCCGTTCCTGGGATAATGCACCAGGCAGCCGTTAAGTGGTTCTTCTGGAGATTTTAGCAACAAGGTAAATATCTAAGTTATATCTTAACTTCAAAAAAGAAAACTATGGCCAGGTATGGTGACTCATAGGCACAGTGGCTCATACCTGTGATCTCAGGAGGCTGAGGCACATGAACTGCCTGAGCTCAGGAGTTCGAGTCCAGCCTGAGCAAGAGTGAGAGCACATCTCTACTAAAAATAGAAATACTAGCCAGGCATTGTGGTGGGCACCTGTAGTCCAGCTACTTGGGAGGTGGAGACAAGAGGATCACTTGTACCCAGAGTTTCAGCTATGATGCCAGGAACACAGAGTGAGACTCTGTCTCAAAAAACCCCAAAAAACAAAAAAGCAAAATATAAAAAGGTATTTACAATATAACCTCAAAACACGTAAAAACAGCATTAGAGAGCAAGCAGCTAATGTTTTAGCCACAGTTCTTCCTGGAGAGTTGGATGGTGGTAGGCTCTGTTACTTTCCCTAGCACCTGTCGCTAAGAAGTCACATGCAGATACTACCTGAGAGGCTTCGCCATGCTCTGACTGGGTGTCAGGCCAAGATTCTGAGGGCCCCGGTAGGAGATGCTGCCTGTGATGGGAACAGAACACATGTAGTTCATGTTAACATGTGCTAAGAAACCACTCAGACCTGCTGGATCTCTGCAGCCGCTGCTCCCTCCCCACCAGTAGCAGTGAGAGGTCCCCTGAGTCCTTCTGACTCCACAGAAGCATCCGTGTGAGGGATGTGCAACCGTTTTGCAATTTAATCTTTTAACAAAACTTTTTGTACCTTTGCAACACAGAAAAATATTTAAGCCCTCTGAATAAATCAGCAGTTTGATATTAAGACCTGGAAACCAGAACTGATCAGTCTGGCTGACTTCCAGAGCTCTCAGGCCGGGGCTTCCACTCTACCACGTGCAGGCCCAGGTGGGAGCTGTCCCTCCACAGGCAGCTATGCCCACCTGAGGCATGCAGGGGAGCCCAGCAGAGGATTGGAGATTTGACTAAATGCCACATGTGGAGGGAAGCCTGGGCTGCTGCTACTCTGGAGATAGCCTGGAGGGCAGCAGCACCTGCAAGGTCCTCTCAGCTCTTCCTACAGTTCACTCCCTCCATCCACTTCTCTGGAAACATGAAAATGGGTGTGTCTACTCTGTTGTGGGGCAATACTGCACAAGGGCACATTGACCCTGCACACTGAACGTCGGATTGACCAGTGCCCTGCCTGTTGTGGAATGTTAGTAGCATCCAGGCTAGAGCCCTGAGCATAGCAGCTCTGCCCCCTGACAGGGTCATGTCCCTGCCTGTGGGGGTATGGCTGTTTGAGGCCACCACAGTGACCCTCAGAAGGGTCTGCGTGACCCTCAAAAGACTTTGAAGAATGGCTGAGGACCAGGGAGGTGAACTGTGTGATCTTATTTTCACATTTTCTGCTTTACAACAGTTTGATCTTGTAGGGTCTGGCTGGTCCTGGACAGATAGCCAGAATAACTGATTCCTAGAGGCAGTGAACAACTGGCCTGTGAACATCTTGTGTGTGAAAAACTGCCACTCCAGAGCCTACATGCCATGCCACCCTCTTGACCTGGTTCACACTCCAGGCAGCAGCGTCCCTTGCCCCAGGTGCCCCAGGCCAGGTGCAGACAGTAGGGCAGCCCTGCACTCCACAGCCTGCAAACTGATGCTGACCAGCCAATCCCAGCTTGGGCAGCAGAAACAAGGTGGCCTTTTTGTAACTTATCAGCATACATCAAAAGCTAAGGGAGTTCCTGTGTTTCCTGTGGCCTTCTAGAAATGCATTCTGGGGGCAATCCAGCGAGGACAGACATCTGCGCGCAGCAGTGGTTGTTAGCTTGGTGAGCCTCTGGGACCCTGACACATCCCAGGACAATGAGGCAGGCATGGGCAGTCCCTGGGATGGAACAGAAAGCAGCCACGGTGAGGCGCAGGTGACATGTCATCAGGAAAATGTGTACTCTGAGGTCAGCATGTCCCATGCACAGCACAGAGAAGGGTGTCTGTTCAGGCTCCCTAGCCCACAGCCAGCTTGTGGGGTGAGGCCAGGGGCCCTAGAGCTGCTCCCCTGGTGAGGAGGCGGCTGGGCACAGGGTGAGAGCCATGCTGGGGCCCTCCCAGCCCGGGGTGGGGAAGGGGAGAACCAGCTGGGGTTGGAGGACTCACTTTCGAAACATCAGCAACCCAAAGCCAATAGCCAGTAAGCAAAACTCAAATAGTATGTTTGTTTACAACGAAGAGGGGACAGAACACAAAGGAACCAGTCTTCCCCTGTGACTCATTCAGAGCTTCTCCCTGCAAGATTATAGCTGTTGGTTGAAGGACAACATTCACCTAGGTAAATTTTGAGAGCTTTGATTCAACATGACTTTTCAGAGTATATATATGCATATGTGTGCATGTGTGCACGCGCACGCACACACACAATTTATTTAAAGACGAGGTCTCACTCTGTTGCCCTGGGTGGAGTACCATGATGTCATCACAGCTCATAGTAACCTCAAATTCCTGGGTTCAAGAGATCCTCCTGCCTCAGCTTTCCGAGTAGATGCCCACCACAGTGCCTGGCTAGTTTTTCTAGTTTTAGTAGAGATGGGGTCTTGCTTTGCTCAGGCTGGTCTCAAACTCTTGAGCTCAACGGATCTGCCCTCATCAGTCTCCCAGAGAGCCAGGATTACAGGTGTGAGCCCCCATACCCGGCCCCAAGAACATACTTTGACCCATACATGTATCAATCTGGAGTGAGGCTGCAAGAACTTTTACTTACCCATGTGTCCATCTTGAGGTGGACTAATCAAAGAGATTCTTGTTGGGCCAGCTGCTCCCTCAGGCTAAGTAGGCAAAAAGAAAACTGATAAAACTCCAAAGCTGCTATTTATGAGATTTAGAATTTCACTATTTCTTTTTCACCTTTTTTTAAATTTTTTTTGAGACAGGGTCTCACTTTCTTGCCCCTGGTAGAGTACCATGGCAAGCAACCTCAGACTCCAGGGCTTAACTGATCCTCCTGCCCTCCTCCCAGAGCTGGGACTGCAGGAGACACTGTGGCCTCATGTTCACTGCGATCCTGTTTCCAAGAGCTCTGTCTCTGCAGTCTTTATCTCCCTCTGACAAATTCCTGGTTAGCGTGGCTCTGTGTTCACCTCCCACTTCTGTTGTTGGAATGCTGGCCTCATGAGGCTGGCAGAGGTACTCTGATCCACCAGGACCTAAAACACTGTCCTGTTTAGGGCTCCACTATCTATTTTTAAGAACTGCAGGAGAGAGAAAAGTAAAGAGATGTCTCAGATGGTACCGGAAAACATGAAGTCCTGGGTAACTCCTCATCTTGGGCGCACTGATTTTGTCACTTTGAAATCCAGGTGCTGACAGGTTGGAAGTAGTGCTCTCGGAGCTGCATGTGCCAGGCTCCATTGTGCCCAGTCTCCCATCAACCCAGCAATGGTGAGGCAGGCACTGCCGCCTCCCTGCTTGACTCATAGGAAGTTCTGAGTGGAGGCTGGTGGCAGAGGCCACTCTGCTACTCAGTGTGACCTAGGGTGTCTGCAGGGCACTGTATTCAGCCTCCTTCTTGGGCTCCAGGCTCCTCGCCTGGCCTGTCAGTCTCCAGGCTTTGCCATCTTCACCATGCCCTGCTAAGACCTGGCTGCCTATCCCCCTGGCCCCTGCAGGCCCACCCCACAGATCATTTGACCCATCCACCACGGACATTCCTGTGTCCTCTCCAGCACTCTAGGGTATCCTCTGCCACATCCTGGACCCTCTCTTGCCTGTCCTTCATTCTCACTTGCTGGCAAGATGGCAGGCTGGAAGGACCAGCCCTATAGCCCCAGTGGCCCTCTATGCTGCCCGCAGGCCTGATGTCCACAAAGCATGCTCCCATCCACCTAAGCTGATGACTATACTCACAACCCACCCACACAGAACCTCAGCAGGGCTGCTCCCAGCACTTCCTCTCCTCTCCCTAGAGTGCTCTGCTCCCTCCCTTCCTGGGTCTCCCTCAGGGGTGCCATCAGGATGGTGAATCTTGGAGATTGGGCTCACTCTCCTGGGGGCACCCCTCCCCCAATTGCAGTCTGTGCAGCTTCCTCCTGCTGCCCACCTGCAATTCACTGGGCACCTCCCACTGCCTGGACAGACATTCCACCTGCCTCAAGCCTCTTCTCACTACCAGGTGTGATATCCTTTCAAACTTTGAAACTTCAAAAGGGAAAATCATCCGCACACAGTGAGCACAAACTTATCAATGCATGACTAGGATGAGGAAAATTTTCTTTTCTTGCCTAGTGTCCAATAAGAAAGAATTTTTGTTTATTGGGTCAGTTCCTGAGTCCTCTGTTCATCGGAAAATCTAGCAGTTGTTGGAGCAAAAAGAATCATTCATTTTTCTTTTGAGACAGAAGATCATTCTCTCTCTGTGGTTAGAATGCCTTGCTGTCATAGTTCACAGCAACCTTTGAGCCCAAGCTTGGGCTCAAACAATCCTCTTGCCTCAACCTCCTGAGCAGTTGGGACTACAGGCACCCACCACAACACCTGGCTAATTTTTCTAGTTTTAGTAAAGATGG